TCATTAAAACTTTTGTCACTCAGGAGTGTGAAAAAAACAAACAAACCCCAAATAAAAAGAGTTTTAACGACAAAAAGTGCCGGTGGGGACAGTGCTTTGTTGGCGGAAGACGCTCTCCCGATGACGAAGCTACCGCCTGTCGTTGGGGATGCTTTTGTTTGGCCGTCAGGAGAGCGGCTACACTACATACCTTACAATGGCAGTGCTGTAGCGGCACAGCTGCACCGTTGTAAGATGCGCAGTCTACACACAGCCTCAGGTTGGCTTTCAGAAATGACAGTCCATCTTTCGAGAGTTGTTGGGAGTGTCACCATTTCCAACATCTTACTCAGCTTCCACTTCGCTGCCTAGAGTGCAGCTACACCAAGTGGCAGGGATGCCTGGCAAGTCCCTTCACTGGCACAGCAATGCTACTGCTGCAGTTATATGGGGGAAGGGAGAGCAGGAACCTGCATAAGATTAGTAAGATTTGGGGGTACAGGAGCTTCCCAGATCCTCAGTAACTACCACAGGGGATGCCTGGACAGGACAAAGCTTCAGTGCAACATCTGGCTGGCTGCTGGCATGCTAAAAGCAGGAAGAGGGAGCTGGCATCACATGGCTGATGGGTAATGTTCGGATACTATAGAAGTGCTGCACAGCTCACTCGTCAGGGGAGATGGCTGGCTGGCTGGACTCCCCTCAGGTGTGCTCTCTCCACATCTGATCTTTTCTCAGGATCCTTTGTCTTAGAAAGAGAAATTAGATGTGTGATCCTCAGTGTGCCTTGTGCAGAACTTGTGGTGATTCCCATTTTTATCTATACTTTAGGTACAAGCATGACAACACCTCAGCTGCCGTAGGGAACGCCAAGGGGCATGGACAAAGCCGGGATACAGTCCAAGACCGAAGGAAGAAGGAAGCCAACAAAGGGGCAAGAGCTAATCATAACCGCCGCGTCATGGCTGACAGGAAACGGAACAAAGGCATGATCCCTTCCTGAGGGACTCTTAGCCCAAGGCATTGCATTGGATTCAGGCCTTTACTTCTGAGGGCCTCCTGATCTTAAGGTCATGGTGCAATACCCAGCCCTTCAATTTTAACTGGGATCACCCCGCCCTGGGGAGAGCTTTCCATTTATGAATAGGAACTGCCCATCAGGCAGGCTTGCTGCTGTGCTAGTTGTCAATACAGCTAATGCAGCAGCAGGTCTCTCAGATGCATAGGACAGGCTGCAACAGCCATTGTTTTTTTTTTTTTAAACTATTTGTAATGATTCTATGAGAACTTTATTTTCATATAAGAAACATCCCCCTGCCCCCACAACTGCCTGGGGCATCCAATCAGCACAGCTAAGAGCACTTAGAATGAGCGCTACAACTGACAGTGAGGTTCGCCTGCGCCATTAGCTACAGCTGCCCACTCCACACACGGTGCCTTATCCTGCAGTAGACTCATGGGATGTATAGAAACAAATGCACAACAGGCCAGTCCTGTTGCTGACAAAGCCCTAGGAGTTCAGCTGTATGGTGATGTACTTTAAATTCCTCTCCCTCGAGCGAGAAACGTGTATAAAAGCATGCAGATAAAGAATTTGAATCTTTCGGCTTGGTGTTTTATGCAGTTTCCGTCAATGAACCCTATCTAATTTAATCTTGTCTGTATCCGTTAGCAGTGAACTATCATATGTCTGCAGTTAGGAGCTTGTTTAATGAAGTGAGGTGTGCAGTGGATATGCATGGCCCAAAGCCCCTTTGAAATGCATTCACTATCAAGGCATCTAAAGCAAGATGATTGCAATATGCAAATTAGGTGAGGGGAAGGCATGCAGTGATTTGCCTCTGCAGTCACAGTCCATAGAGTTGCTTTCCCAATAGCTACTTGTCACCACTCATTAAGCAGAACAGCTCAGATCATACCTGTCATGGGGAACGCTATGAGCTAGTAATAGCAATCTCTGCCTGCTGACAGGTCTCAAGAGAAACAATCTTGTCATACAAAAAGTCACTTCTACAGAATGAGACCATTCCTGAGGTCACTTTAATCTATTTGTAAGGTACTCAGATACCAGGGTGAGGGCTACCTTACAAGAGCCTAGACAGACATTGGAGATGGAGCTAGCTGTCTGTGATACGAATGTCAATAAATTGTCATTAAATATCTGCACATTGAAAATGTGTTCTGCTCACCAGCATGTAGACTTATACTACATTTGAAAATAAATAGTATGAGTACATTAGCTCCCCACATAAACAGATGACAAATGGGTTGTGGTAGATCAACCTGTTCCAAAGAAAGTCAAGAGCAATTTATTTTTGGTGTATTGCTGCTACATAAAATGCACTGAATTCTAAGCTTCCAGCATTCTAACCCTTGTTTCAGTGTGTGAAGTACTACATGTTGCTTTTCTCCAAATACTGCAGAAGGCAGGTTTTTGTATTAAGCTTTGTATGCATGTCCTTCACTGCCAAGTTATACGCAGGGGGAGGAGATTGTACAGCTATGTGATTAGTGCTATAACAGTGAGGCTGCTTTCAGAAAGAATGGAAATGGCTGTCACCATTATGCAAATAGGATAAAGCCCTGAATATTCACAGGATAAAATTTTCTGCACTATTCAACAGCCCACTAGGACATGGGGTAAAAGGAATGAATTTAACACTTGTGCTTTCCCAAAAGCCATTGTCATGGGAAACTACTTAACCCTTGTACTTTCAGTTATCCCATTGCCTAATAATTTGCTTTTTGCCGGACTTGCTACCACATCTCCCCATCTAATATGTATTCACTGCTAGGTAACTCTAGCTTCAAGGCTGCTGAAACCACCACTAGTTCAGCATAGCATAAAGCGATCAGCCCTGCAGGTAGAACTTACACTAGAAGCAAATGTGGTTTTTTTTGGTTAGGTTATGAGATTAGCCCAGCAAGGCCTAAATCCTACCCCCTAGGGTGCCTCTATAAAAGCAATTTAAGGCCGCTAGGAGTCGACAGCAGCCATTTTTTCCTCAAACAAAATATTGGCAAATCCTCCTTACCCACCAAGTGTAAATGGCACCCATTGGGGTTAATGTTTTCACTATCCATAAAGCTTTTCTCCAGTTCATGCTACTGCTGTAGCAAGAGCCATTCCACCTCAGAGTCATCCATCAGCAAAACTTCAATTGCATGTTATTAGTGGAAATGTAACAAGCAGAAAGACAGTTCAAGTGTAAGGTGTGTAGGACTGGCAGCCAGCTTGGCTTGTACAGGACTGGCCAGGCAAGTAGTAACTGGTTTCCATCATCCCCATGCACTAAAAACAGATTCCTATTGGATAACTTTTAAAGGAACCAGGTAGTTAGATAATGCTTTAACTTCCTCCATTCCTGGCCTGTGAAGGAAGAGGGTTTCTGGAAATAGGCAGCAAAGGGGCATGGGAACTGATGGCACTGCTATCAGTTAGGATGAGACTCTTAAAGCTGCTTCCCACTACAGACAGAAAGGTACTAGTGCTGCTCCACCTAGCAGGCTAAGGCTACCTCTTCACTACAGGGGGGGGGGTCGATTTAAGATACGCAAATTCAGCTACGCGAATAGTGTAGCTGAATTCGACGTATCGCAGCCGACTTACCCCGCTGTGAGGACAGCGGCAAAATCGACCTCCGCGGCTTCCCGTCGACAGCTCTTACTCCCACCTTCGCTGGTGGAGTAAGAGCGTCGATTCAGGGATCGATTGTCATGTCCTGACGGGACACGATAAATCAATCCCCGAGAGGTCAATTTCTACCCGCCAATTCAGGTGGGTAGTGTAGACCTAGCCTCAGAATAGCATCCTGACACAAAACCAAGCATGGCAGCTTGGGCTAGCTGCTTGCATACAATCCTACCCAACACCCCTGCTACAGGCTCAGGCGGTAGTCTACCCATTCTGGGAAATGTCTTGCCTGCTGCTGTATAGACATAGCCAAGGATGACATAGCTACGGTCTCACTATAGTATTGCCATATCCCTTCCCATTGCTTGCTTTTTACCACTTTCCCCCATGCCTGTGTGATATTTAGCTTTATGCTCCCAGGGCAGGCACTATCTGTTTAGCACCTTATGTACTGTATCAAACAGCAAAAGAATAAGGCACCTGCACCACCACTTCAGCATACTCCTACTGTAAACAGAAAAGGCTGAACAGAACGCTCAAGACAGATCACTACAGCTCTCCCAGCACAGTAATGCAGAGCTCCAGACCTATACTAAATTTAAAATGAGTTAGTCACTTTTCAAGCTTATAGGGCTCACAGATGTCATTAGAATACACCAGCTATACATCTTATTTACAGCCCCTTCATTTTAGCCCTTCTTCCACAGGGTGGGGTGTTTTGTTTTTAAGTGCAGCTCAGGCCAGCTGTCTGAAAGCAAAGCAGCACTTCTCCGAGTAGTGAAGGATATTTGAAAGTTAAGATTTTAATTAAAATCAATACTACTGAGGCAGCCACCCTGAACAAGTGCATATCATTTGTCAGCAAGCAAAGGCTAGATGGTTTGTCTGAGATGCAACAAAGATACAGCCCCAGAACCAGGTGCTTTGATATACTAATTACTATAAAAAACAAGATGTTTAAATAAAGAGACTAAAGTGCTGCATATAACCAAGAGCAAAGTGAAAGATGGGTTTGAATGCTGGAGGAATTTTTTAAATAAAGGGCTGTTAAGAATATTTGGAGAGACCATTTATGGTTAGAGATTTTGGCTAGCTATTGCCTGCCTATTTAAGGCTATTGCTCCTGTCTGTACATTGGTCTGAGTTATAAACTGGAACATTTACCAGGCAAAAGCAATAAATATTGACAAAGGCTTTCAGCTGTACCTGTGCTTCCACTTTTTAGGTTACACAAAAACAAACCGCATATGATTTTCCATACCAGTGCTACAGAAATAAGGTTTTATATGCCACATTAATTTAGAGCCCAACATCCTGTGGCTAACAATAAACCCTTCTTTACATCTAGAGCACAGGGGAAGTTCACTGAACATGTAAGCACAAGAGGTATGGGTTAGTGAGTTTATTAGTTTAACAGAATGTTTTAACACAGCAGGAGTAAATCCATCAAGGTTTCTGCCACAGATGAAGTTGGTGATGTGCTCTCTCTGGCTCAGATTTCTTCAGTCAGAAGCCCATTTTCATTCTTGGTAATTGGTATCAGGCAATTGAAGAGTTTACACAAGGGGATACAGGCACCCCGGCATGGCTCCTGTAGCTCTCACTTCACTTTTCTTGTGTCTCATACTTGTGCTTGATGTGTTTCCACAGTTTCTGCATTTGAAAAAAACAAAAGCAAGAAGTCTTATGTATGTGTCCCAGTGATGCTGGGCTGAATTTCTTACTTTCACCTAAAGGGAATGCCTACAAGTGAGGAACACACTGAAGTTTCCTGCCATTGCTGTCCCATTTGGTGTCTTGCCCTTGACAGCATATCCTAATGGCACTTGTTTGGGTGACCACTTTGGCACATCCACACAATGCCTTACCTAGCCAGACCAGTGCACTCCAGGAATACCAAAGCATTTATTCCAGAAGGCACAGCACACACTTGAAACACAGGTTCTGAGGTAACTTCAAGAGGAGGAATTGCACTGTAGAATGGAGTTAAGATAATGGATCTCATCTTTTTTGATTAAGCTGCTTCTTGCAGTGGACTGGCAGAATGAGACCATGTCCTCTTCCGCAAGTCCCAGCATACTTGCTGCCATTTCTTCCTTCTATTCACACATCCTTTTCTGCATTTTGCTTAATATTTTTATAGTAGCTTTGCTCTTTTGTTCTATGGCCTCCCTGTACCCAGTCACCAGAGGAGCATATGATACCAGGTGAGTGCCACAAGAGCCTGGAGCAGTGCACTGATGCCTCAGCTTGGGGCCCCATTCTCAGGATCTGCATTAGGTAAGCTACAATACCAGAAAGGGAATGTAGGTAGCTTTCAAGAATATTTTTTTAGGGAGGCAGTCTAGGATCATACAACTTTATAGGTTCCTACTGCTGCCCTACTCTGTAACCTTGCAGGTTAAGAAACACCAAACTGTTGCAGCTTCTGGCTCCCCATTCACACTGAGGAAAAGCCACTGTAGTCAACACAGATTCAAGCTGGACCCAAAACAAGGTCTTTAGCCCAACCATCACAACCAACTGGTACAATAAATACTTGTAAGATTCCTGTTTGTGGGCAGAAAGTATCATAGCATTTCTAATGCCTGGTCTAGACAGGATCATAGCCTCTTTAAAAGAGGAAAATCAGCATACAACCCTAGACTGACAAAAAGTACACTAACACGTAATAACTGAATTGCTCAATTAAGAAAGTAGCCAAAGAAATACATAATTCCAGTTGGATATTAGAAGTTTCCTCTGGCCCCAAACTCCTGGAAGGGAAGAGGAAATGTGCAAATCATACACTTTATATTTGGCTGTAATTTTGTATTTTGCACAAACTCTGGGTGCTTTTAGAGTTAAAATACATACTTTATCACAACTTGGTATGCTAAGGGCACAGTTACAGGTAACTGGAGGATCAGGTAATGTGTGTATCACTTATTGCCATGGTATCTAAGCATTAATTATCAAGCTTTTCCTGTCCATGGATGCAACTTAAATACAATGATGACTTGACTCATCTCATCTTATGTTGCAGACTGCTTGGGACAGCACTGCAATACTGGCAACACATCCTATATGACCTACATTGTGTGCAAAGTTGCTGTCACCTTTTTTGTTGAGTTAGACATCAGAAATATGAAACTGAAGACATTCAAGAAATGAGTCCTTGTTTTAAGCTTCCTGTGTTACAATTTCTTTGACTGTCTCCCCCATTAGGGCCAAGACAACTGGAGAAGTCCAAGAGCATGCATAAATCCTCCCTATAAGTGCCATAATAGCAGTACTTCTATAATCATGGTGGTTATCACAAGGCAATTCAGCACTGGCATTACTATGCATTTACAAAATGCATCTGCCATGATGCTAGCATGGTTGCTGGATCCTCAGCCCTTCATATGCATCTGGCCCTGTAAAATAAAGGGCTGAATGAAGTGAGCAGAACTCAACCCCACTGCTTCCCTACCACTCACAGGCAGCCTGTGTTAAGTGAGAAGTTCACCCAGGCTTTTTGTAAAGTCCCCCTGCTGTGTTCACCTTGGCAGAGACCGGTCAGAGGTGGGCTGGAAGGTGCGGCAGGGCGCGGTACCCCCACCCCGGCCTAGCAGAGCGGCGGGCGCAGAAGGGGCGAGGTACGTTGTAAGGAAGCCGAAGCGAGGAGAACAGGCCACCTGTCCGCCCCGATCGGCGGGGCTGAGGGGCCCGGCACCCACCTGGGCGGCGGTTCCCTTCTAGGCAGGGGCCCGGAGGCGGTGTGGAGCCGGCAGCCAGCCCCGCTAGTACAGCGCGGGAGAGCGTCACCGGCCGGGCCAAGGTCACCCGGGGCCCGGCTCTCCGCGGCCCCACTCTGGCCGCAGGCGGAACACGCCTGGGGATACGGACTGTCAAGGGGCCGCGGCCGAGCCGGGGCCTCGCGTAGTGCACAGGCCGCCCTGACCTTCAGCCACGCCGGCCTAGGAACTGCGCGAGCTCCGCCTCGGGTCCGGCGCGGCCCGTCAGCGGCTCCTCACCCCGTGGTTGAGACGCTCGTAGAACGCGTCCGCGCCCTGGTCGAAGGCGCGTTCGAAGACGAGGGCCCCCAGCACGATGGTGAGGGCGAAGGTGGAGGTGCGGCGGAAGAGCACATTGTACAGCCGGGAGCGCAGCGGCATGATGGCCTCGTCTGGCGACGCCTGGGCCAGCGCAGGCGCGGCCTGCACCCGGAATTTATAGTGGCGGCAATGCACCCTGGGGCTTGGAGTCCTGCCGCGAGGCACCATGGGATTTGGAGTGCGGCGTCGCGCCGCTCCACCGCAGGGGGAAAGCACCTCGCTCTCGGGGGCAGACGCGGACTGCATTTCCCGGCATGCACAGCGCCACGCTCGCCTCTGACCATGGTCCCTAAGCGATGAGACCTCTGGGAGATGTAGTCCCTTCATTCGAACGCGTGCGCCGGACCCTCGCTGGTGGCGGTAAAAACCTACAAGCCCCAGCATGCCGTGCGGTGCGCGCTCAGGGAGGCGCAGGTTGGGGAGTCGGGCTGTGGCCGTGGGGAGGTGAGTGGCACCTGTGCCTGTCCCAGCGCACGGGTAGGGTCAGGGCAGCAGGCCTAGGGGAACGCGGCGGCTCCTGGCCCACGGCAGGGCGAGCTGGGACTGAGGGACTGGTTCTGCTGGGGATGCGGGCCCGGCCCATTTACACCCCCTCCCAGGGACCCTAAGGCAGCGTGTTCACGCAGCGTGGGCCTGACGCGTCCTGCACCTTGCACCGTGTGTAAACAGTGTCCCCAGTGCCAAGTACAGGCCGGGACTCTTTCACACCCATGTTGTGCTAGTGTCATGACTCCCCAAGGTGCTGAGGAATCAGCCCCAAGAAAAGCACCGAAGGAAGGTGGGGATTGGAATACATGTAACGCAAACCAGGCTTTTATAATGTTAGCATGACTTGTGGGGAGGAGGAATGAAACATCAAGGCCAAAAAAAAAATGGCCTCTGATTTTAGCTGCTTCAATTTGTGTGTGCTCGGCTTGAGCCAGTGGGGGCTTGAGGCTATTTTGGAAGTGCTGCAATTGGATGTTGATGTAAGCTGTAAGTGTACAGCATCTCTGACAATCAGGGCCAAGCTGTCTTGAATTGGGCAGCCCAAATTGCACCCAAGATCAGTATCTAATAATGAAATTTTCAGCCCAAGTTGATATAGACCAGCTGCATATTGTGTGTTTTACACAGCACAATAGGCATTCTTGGTGATCTTCATACCTACAGAAAGAGTCTTGAATTCTACATGAAACAGCACCACAAATAATGACACTGGATTGCAGTGGGTAATGAGCAGAGCTCAGAGAAATCCATGAGGAAAGAACATTTGCTCCTGGAAATAGAATCCTAGGGATAGAAGGGACCACAAGGGAGGCAAGTTAGGTTTCATATATTGTTGTGTGTGTGTGTGTGTGCAGCTATTTTTTTTATTGATCACACATGAGAGTAAGAGTAGTTATCATTAGAGAGCAGAGACTTCTGGTAGAAGGCACAAGAAAAACATAAATTTTGTGGCCTGGTGCTGCCTCTACTTTAAATCAGTGGAAGTGCTGCCATTGACTTTAGTGATAGCACGAGGAGGGTGAAGTTGCTTGGAATATGTTTTATTGGAGGACTTCCAGTTCCTATTTGCCTTCTGCTTATTTATATCAAAGTGGTTCATTTTAACAAGGGGAGCAGTTACACATTACCCCCATCAATGCAAACCTCAGTGGGGCAGAGGTAAATCTGGGTTTAGAAGCGTGTGTGGGAGGGGTATCTGGGGCTGCATTCAAGCAAACTAAAAGGAGGAGGGGAAAATTCCCTTTAAAACCTCCCTCTCTCTTCCAGGGTTTCCATTTAATGAGTATCTAAATTGAATTTTAAAATGGATCTTAAAAACTGACATTTTCTCTGTGTTTCAGTCATGTCAGCCACCCAGAAATGGAGTCCTGGCTGCAGAGCCATTTGCTTTCCTTGATCTTGCACACAGCTTCTGCTAAGATCAGTGGAGGTTTCTGTCTGTGTCGGAGACATGGAGAAAAGCTGGAAAGTTGGCCAAGAGGTTTGGACACCCAGTTCCCATTAATTATAATGGGAATTAGGTGTACCTATCTCTTAGGTGGCTTTGAAAACTCAGCCGCAATTTTTCAATGGTAACTGCTGAGCATCACTTCTGCTAAGGCAATCTTCCTAATAAGCCTATAAACTATTCCCACTTGGCTGGATTTTGATCACAGTTATGCTGGCATGACTCCTGACTAAATCCATTGAGAGTTATTCTGGATTTACACTGGTGTAAATTAGATCAGAATTTGTCCTCTTTTCAGCATGGAGAGATGCTGGCAGACTCCACTGGATTCACTTGTTACTATAGAGATCTGAGCATATTTAAATTGGCAGCTGGGTCTCATAAGCTTGACACTTGGCTTTAATTAACTTCACATCTGCCTAGATATCCTACCCAAGGTGGCTGAAATGCCCTGAGCCTGGATTATGAGGAAGCAGGAAATTGAGAGAGAGGCCCAGAGTCCAGTACAAAAAAAATCCGTTACACCCAGATGAAAACAAATCAGACATGTGTTCTCTTCAGCATCTCCTTCCCTCTCCCTGGATTGCATGCACCTGTAAATGAAATCAGTGAAAGGCCCCTTAGAGAAGAAGGGTGTGAGATTATGCAGTGTACCTTGGATCTTTTCAACCACCCAGCCCATGTGGTTACGCCAACCACTGCACTCATTGGATTGTGCTATTGCTTTTTGAAAAGGTTGCTCTGAAAAGATTTTAAACTGGAACAATATTATTTTAAAATGGGCTTAAGGCAGATGGACCTCTGCACCTGTACAGGCTCCTTGATGTTCGTGTGGTGGCTCCACAGAGACTCGGGGGTCCACTTTGTATGGATCCAATTGCAAATATTACATTAAAGGAGAAAAGCCAGGTTAAAAAATATTAGGCAGAATTTTTTACTCCTATTATTAATAACAACCAAGATCATTAAAACTGAGGGAATTCTTTTAAAAAAATCTATTTGTACTTTTAACTAATAATGCTGTTTATTTTGTGCTTCATTCAGTAGGGAGAGCAGAAATAGGTTAGTCAATATCACTTTTGGTTCTAGTCATTTTCACTTTGATTCCCAGGCACTAGCCCTGTGCTGAAGAGTCTGGATTGCAGCATTACAGAGGATTGTTAAAATCTAAACAAATAACTGTTCTAATTGAAATTATATGAAAAAGATGAAAATATTTATTGCTCTTACTCCTTGTAAAAAAACATTTTGTGTCCCATCCCCATTATTATCGAGTATCCTCTAATAGAGACCCTCTAATAGAGCTTTATGATATTTTTTTCCCCATAGTCTGACTTGCTACAAGAATGCAGGAGCCAGTACCACAAGGGATGTATGGTGTGTAGAAAGTAGCATTTGCTGAAATCTACAAGAGTTCTCACTCTTTGCTGCTGCTGTTTATTTTGGGAATTAGTTTCTGCAGTTACGGGGCCAGAATGATGAAAAATGCAAATAAAGAAAAGTAAAGATTTAAATTAATTTTCTCAGAGTCTGATGCTGTAATGTTTTCTGGACATGAAATTCACACTGAACTCCATGGATATTTTGTGTGTGGATCCAGTGCAGAAACCAAGCTCATTTCCCCTGATCTGAGATCTGGTTTTGTGGAAATTGGAGTAAAAATAGACTGCAGAAGCAGGTGGTTGAAATCTAGAGTTTGGGTTAATGTCAGCTGCTGGCATATCCCCTGGAATCAGATGTCAGAGGGCTTTGAACATAGAAACTTAAAAAAACCCAAAAAAACAATAAAATCCTTGAGTGACCCTTTATGTGGTAGAAAGCTGTAAGAACTTTCCCCTACAGATCCCAAAAGCTGTCTGGTTGCTGAGATATGCCTAGTGCCAGATTCCACAGTTGGCTACAAAAGTTTGTAGTACATCAGGTAGAAGAAGGTGACAAATGGTAGGTATATGCTGATTAACTGAAGATGGGCTGTGTCTTCCAGGACTGCAGAGCAGAGCTTCAGGCTTCACCCCTGCAGAGCTTTAGAGCTCACCAGGGTTGAAACTCCTGGCCATCCAAGCCATGGTAGCACTTTACTAGCAAGAGCTAGACTTAGCCATCATTCTAGATAACATAGTTGGTTTCCCAGTAGGGTAATCAGAACTTGAGAGAGAGAGACCAACCCACCCATCTGGCTTATTCTTATCCAAGTATTTTACCATCCATCATGTACCTAGAGAACAAAGGGCGATCCAAAAGGAGGCATTTATATTCAGTGCCTCAAGGTGGAGGTTTATTGGTGTGTGATTCCTCCAGTCCCTTGTATTTGTGCAGTGGCTGGCACAGGCATTGAGGAATCTTGCACTGGAAGCGAATGGAACAGACAGCTCCTTTCTCAGGCTCTGGGAGGCTGATAGATTGACTTTGTAGCAGTGATTTGTTTTGCCCCTGAGGTGTCCCTGTGGCTGGCTGACATGAAGGCTTGGCAGGATCTGCTCTGCGGGAAGGCTGGGTATTGGCGCTAAAGGGATCACCTGTTGATGGCATTGTTCCTGCTGACTCTGGAGAACTTCCTGGGGGCTCTGGTCCTGGCTGTCTTTTTGTTTTTAAGTCTTTATTTCTTGTGCTAATTTCTGTGCCATGCTTTTCAGAGACTTGGTCATCAAGGTGTCTGAAGCTGTGTAGGCATTTTCAGAGTCTATCTACCTATCTGTACATCTTAGGTATTTGTAAGGTGTCCATCATGTTCCAAGAGAGGGAGTGTACAGCTGCTACTGGCTGAGATTCTGTGCTTCGAGCAGGCACAGTCCAGCGGGCGATGGGGCACAGGTGGTTTAAGCCATCTTTGCCCATCGGGATTTTGGCCTGCTCTGGGGGCTGACGTGGCCCCAGCATAAATTAGAGCAGTCAACTCCTGTTATAATTTTTAGATCCTGCCAGTGGACCATAGCACAAAATCTCTGTAGTGCTCAGTGCTATGGAGACTCATTCGACATGCTCCTGCCCTCCACCAGCCTTTCTCCCATGCTAGGCTGGGCAGCATCAGGTAACGTGTGGTGGTTCAGTGCAGTGTCTGTGCCAGGGGAATTCTTTCCCAGCTGGCTAGGGGTTTTATATGACCCTTATTTGCTGCCAGGACATCTGTACAGGGGGTGCAGTGGAAGGGAGAATCCCTCTT